TGTAATTCCCATGTGTTCTGGGAGGGACCCAAAGGAAGATCATTGAATTATGGGGGCAGGTCTTTCCTGTGCTGTTCTCATGATTGTGAATGGGTCTCATGAGATCTGATGGTTTTACAAGTGGGTTTCCCTGCACAAGCTCTCTTTTTGCTTGCTGCCATCCACGTAAGATGTGACTTGCACCTCCTTGCCTTCCACCATGATTGTGAGGCCTCCCCAGCCATGTGGAACTGTAAGTCCAATAAATCTCTTTCTTCTGTAAATTGCTGTCTCGGGTATGTCTTTATCAGCAGTGTGAAGAAGAGCTAATATAATATTGATGGAAGATACCAACTAGGACACAGAGGTCAGGAATATACAAGATAAGTGATATCTGCTAGAAATCAATTGATCCAAGACAAGGGAGAAAGGGAGGTGTTTAGAACACAAGTGGGAAGATGTGTCCTACATAAGGAGAGTGTGGCCTCCATTGGAATAGATGTGAAAAGCCTAGTGCAAAGTCAGTACTGCCAGCTATCCCAGGGAGAAGATCACCTTCATGTTTCCAAACCTACTTTGCAGGCTCAACTACCCCTCAGGCAGCTACCCAACAGCTACCCAAGGGCCTCCCACCTTCACTGACCTCATTCCAACTACTTCCATTCTCTCTTTATTCTCTTGTCCTATTTGAGACCTGGTATCCTTCAGTCTAGTCCCCCTAATTAGCAAAACAGCTCGACTCATTTGCATTACTTAAGCAGCATTTTCCTAGAAAGTACTGACGGTAATATGCTAATCACAAGGACAGTCTTCAGATACAGGAACTGAAGTAAAAGCACTATAAACTAATTCAACCTCATCTAGTTTGTGGCTCTATTGTTTAAATACTGCCTTCCAAAGTAAACAAAACAAAACCTACACAGAATGTTATTGCCAGAGGGAGTTCAGGAATCCGCCTGCACAGTCTCTATTGTCCATCCTCACCAACCTCAAGTTCTTTTAGCTCAGAGGAGCAAAGTATTCTTTTTTTTTTTTCCCATTTATTTATTTTATTGCATTTTAGGTTTGGGGGTACATGTGAAGAACATGCAAAATTATTGCATAGGTACACACGTGGCAGTGTGATTTGCTGCCTTCCTCCCCATCACTTACATCTGGCATTTCTCCCCTTGCTATCTCTCCCCAGCTCCCCACCCCCCACCATCCCTCCCCTATTTCCCCCCAACTGACCCCAGTGTGTAGTGCTCCCCTCCCTGTGTCCATGTGTTCTCATTGTTCAACACCCGCCTATGAGTGAGAACATGCAGAGCAAAGTATTCTAAAACCACATGGCTTCTTGATAACAATTATCAAGAACTTCCACTTACCCTCCAAACTTTTAAAACTTCTCCATCAGTTTTACTAGGGCACTAGGGTGCATTGAGAAGAAGACTGGAGCCCCAGGCCAAAAAGCTGGAATTTTTCTTTTTTTGTTGTTGAAACAGAGTCTCACTCTGCCACCCAGACTGGAGTGCAGCAGTGGAATCTCACTGACTGCAACCTCCACCTCCTGGGTTCAAGGGATCCTCCTGCCTCACCCTCCTGAGTAAATGGGACTACAGGAGCATGCCACCACGCCTGGCTAATTTTTGTATTTTTTGTAGAGACAGGGTTTTGCTATGTCAGCCAGGCTGGTCTCAAACTCCTGACCTCAGGTGATCCACCCACCTCAGCCTCCCAAAGTGCTAGCATTATAGGCATAAGCCACCATGCTTGGCCAAAAATCTTGAATTTTTTATTTTTATTTTAAAAATTGTACCTTTATTTTAAGCATCATACAAATTTTGTACCATCCCCTATATTTCTGTGTTTTGTGCTGCTTTTAATAAACTCACCCTGATTTTGTGTACAACTGAGACTCCTGGAGAAAGAATCACATTTAAGTTTCTTCTATCCCACTATTTCAATTTGAAAAAGCCAGCACTAGATGGTGTCATTCTTGATAATACCAGCCCATTTTGCACACTTATTTCTAATAATTAGTACTGAATGGAACTTGGGTCTGCTTGCCTAGCGCACAGAAAAAGGCAAACAGTGACACCAGGATTTGCTACAAGAGAAAGTGGGGCATTTATTGCAGGGCATCAAGCAGGAAGAATCAGGCAGCTGATGATTATGACACAAACTCCCCAGTTACTTACAAGGAATTGTTTTTAAAGGTAGGGCTATATTTCAAGAAAGGAGAAGTTACAGGGAAAATTATAACTTGATACCCCTTGGTTATACATTGGTTTGGTCCAAAAAAGGGGAGTATCTTTGTAACCACCTAAAGGGTTCACCTTACCCACTGCCTTGACAGAGCCAATTTATCAAGACAGGAGAATTGCAATAGAGAAAGAGTAATTCATGTAGGGCTGGCTGTACAGGACACTAGATTTTTATGATTACTTAAATCAGTCTTCTGAACATTTGGGGATGAGAGTTTTTAAGAATAATTTGGTGGATGGGGCGCAGCCAGTGAGTCAGGAGTGCTGACTGGTTAGGTTGAGATGAAATCATAGGGAATCAAAGCTGCACTGAGTCAGTTCCAGGCGGGGGGGGGGTGCAGAGGGTAGCACAAGATCAGATAAACTAGTTTATTAATCTGGGTGGTACCAGTTGATCCACTGAGGGAAAAATCTGCAAAATATCTCAAACACTGATCTTAGCCTTATAACAGTGATGTTATCCCCAGGAGCAATTTGGGAAGGGTCAAAATCTTGCAGCCTTCAGCTACATGATTGCTAAACCATAATTTCTTTTTCTTTCTTTTTTTTTTTTTTGAGACAGAGTTTCGCTCTTGTTACCCAGGCTGGAGTGCAATGGCGCGATCTCGGCTCTGGCTAATTTGTTAGTCCTACAAAGGCAGTCTACTCCCCAAACAAGAAGGCGGTTTGTTTTTGGAAAGGGCTGTTATTGTCTTTGTTTTAAACTATAAACTGTAAACTAAATTCCTCCCAAAGTTAGTTCAGCCTATCCCCAGCAATAAAAAAGGACAGCTTGTAGGTTAGAAGCAAAATGGAGTTAGTTAAGTCAGATCTCTTTCACTGTCTCAGTTATAGTTTTGCCATGGTAGTTTCATCTTGAAGTGAGAGCTTACAGGTCATAGGTAGATTTTTTTGATTTGCAATTGGTTAAGGAAGCAATGCTTTGTCTAAAAACTTGGGGTCAGCAGGAAGGAATGTTAAGGTTTGGCCTATGGGTGTGACTCTCTCCAGGCTCCTTAGGGGAAAAAAAAATAGATAGAACAAAGAATGGTAGTTGGAGTTAAGTCCTCAGTTCCCAATTTTCTGAAGTCTACATGATAGAAGTCAACATTTTACATCTGGTAGGAGGATTGAGATTTCTGAAAATAACTCAAGAACATATGTTAAGATGTTAGCTTTTGTTTCTATAAGAAAATAGACATCATGTGACTCTAACTTCTTGAGTGACTATTGTTTAAGCTATTACTGCCTTCTTACTTAGCGGGTTATTCACACACTTCCTTAATTGCTGGTGGCAGGGCAAGCTAGGTACCTTACCTAGAATTTCCCTTGAAAGGACTCAAATCTTTCTTTATTTTCATGGTTTGAAGGGGGTGGGGAAACCCAGCAGGCCCCTGTAAGGAGCCCTGCTTCATCTCATGATCAGTAAAACAAGTCTCTTATCACTGCTGTTTTTATATGTAACTCTTAACTCCCTATTCAATTATAAAATCCTATATGCAGATGTACTGGGTACAATGTTTAGTCTTCCTAAGACTCCTTCCTTTTTTTCTTTTTTTTTTTCTGAGACAGTCTTCTGCACCTTCAGCCCATTCCACTTCCACAGTTATGGTGGAAGCTGTTCTCTTAGTACAACACAGACCACCTCAGGTCACAGCTGATTGACCTGAGTATCTCCCCTGCTTCCATCTCCACCATGGTTGATTGGTCTAGGGATAGGCACCTGATTTAGGTGAGACCAATCAGAGAATTTCCACAGGCTTGGAGGACCCAGAATGAGGATGTCATTTTCTCTCCCATGGCCAAAATAAAAATGATACAATCAGGAAACATTGGTGGACATTTTTCTACCATATGGAGAGTAAGCCCAACAAACAGTAAAAAGCAGATGTGAGCTTGAAACAGAGAAGAATACTGATCTTGTTGGAGTTCTACTTCTAGTTTTCCCAAGACCCAGCTGTGGCCCCGCCTTTCCCATGACTTGATATTGTATTCTGGGACTAATAAATTCGTCCTTTGCTTAAGCGACTTTGACAAGGGTGTACGTTACTTGCTACAGGAGGAATAAAATGTAGTGGTTTTTAGAAAGCCTGTGGTGCTGAACAAAGATCAGGGGATTAATAAGTCCTTGTTGATTGCCTGCTTGCCATTTATTGGCTTAAGTCTTGCTGAGAGATACCATCCTGAGAAAATATTGACTGCCATAGACTCCAACCAAGCGATGTAACACAAGGCAATTCACACTTGCAGTACTTGTAAAATTCAAGACCACTGACCAGCAGGGAGAAAGAAAGTGAAAACAAATGAAGAAGCCTCTGCTGGGAGGGCAGACAGAGTGATGGTTTCATCCCAGAATAACACACTGGCAAGGGAAAAGGAGCAGGGAAATCATCTGGGCTAAGGATCAGAAGACCTAAACCTTCATCCTGGATCTACTGCTGACTAGGTGTAGGACTTTGGAACAACCATGGAACTTTTCTTGGCTTGTGTTTTCACATTTATGAATGAGGAAGTTAGAGGAGAAAATTACCAATAAGCTTTTGTGATAGAAAAGCTGAGGCGGCCAGGTGCAGTGGCTCACATGTGTAATCTCAGCACTTTGGGAGGCTGAGGCAGGAGGATCACCTGAGATCAGGAGTTCGCGACCAGCCTGGCCAATATGACGAAATCCTGTCTCTGCTAAAAATACAAAAATTAGCAAGGTATGGTGGTGGGTGCCTGTAATCTCAGCTACTCGGGAGGCTGAGGCTGGAGAATTGCTTGAACCCATGAGGTGGAGGTTGTAGTGAGCCAAGATCGTACCATTGCATTCCATCCTGGGTGACAGAGCAAGGCTCTGTCTCGAAAAAGAAAAAGAAAAGCTGAGGTTTCCCCTCCTGCCATTGTCTGAATGTTGTGTCCCCCTAAAATTCATAGAGTAAAATCTAATCACCAAGCTAATAATATTAGAAGGCAGGGCCTTTGGGAGGTAATTAGGTCATGAGGGCTCTGTACTCATGAATGAGATTAGTGCCCTTATTGAAGAGCCCCAGAGAGCTGCTGTGCCCTTCCATCATATAAGGACACATAGAAGGTGCCACCAATGAGGAATAGGGCCTTCCCAAGCACTGAATATGCTGGTGTTTTGATCTTGGACTTCCCAGCCTCCAGAACTGTAAGCAATACATGTCTATTGTTTATAAATTACCAAGTCTAAAGTATTTTGTCTAAAACACAAATAGACTAAGACATTTCCCCTTTACTCATGGGGCATTCTAACACTTGTGCCCTCATATTAAGGAAGTTGTGGGATCTCTTCATAGTCTCTCCATGGTATGTCAAGTCCTGCCACAGACACAGATCTACCATCTGGAAAGGGTAGAGAAGGTCACTGGGAAGGTCCTTCCTTAAATGGAATCTTGGATATCACCAGTCTGGACCTGAGACTGTAGGAGAATCTAGGCTTCCAAATCAAGGTGGCAGAGTGACACGCCTGCAGGGACAGAACACTGTGCCAGGTAGAAACAGGAGCCAAATGGAAAGCAAATGTCTGCTCCTGTTTGGTGTGTGATAATGATGGCCTAGGAAACCTATATCCTCTGTTTAAAAAACATGCACACACACGAAACCAGAAATTGCATTGTCATGTAAAATTTCATTGTTTTAAAATGTGAATGTCAGAAACAAGCAAACCAACCAACCCACTGTGAGGGCAAAAACAACATGAAAGTAGTGAAAAAATAATTTTTTGACTCAATTTGACCCATGACCTCTATACAGTATGGTGTATATGTTCAATTATGACTCTGAGCCCCATGATACTTTATCATATCAATCCAGTAGAGCTGCCAATGTCCCAGTGAGTACCACTGGATAGTATCAGGATCAACATATTACGATTGCCTGATTTGTGTAAATGTAAAGTCTACAGCCTGATGGGTGGGGGTGGTAGAGCCAGCATGCATGCTGGTCATATCCAGGATGGTTTACTGAGTATAAGAGCCGTGAGCGTGCATGGCTTCATGACACTTGCTTCCACTGTCCTGCTCCTTGAAGATGTAGTCTTGGACTGGGAACTCTGGCCCTCATCCAAGATCCCATCCTCAGCACTGGTCGAGGTGACTTCTGAGCGAGAGAGCATTCAGAACTTCAAGCCACACCCACATAAGTCATCACAGTACCCTGTATAAAGATTGGGGTGCTGTGGCCTCTTCTCTCCCAAATGAATGTGTATGTGCCTATGTTGTGGTATATCTTAAGAAAAAGTTTGGTTTAATCAGATTAGATCGTTTCATGTTGAACAATCTTTTGTTATGTCCAATAATTTTATAATAAATTTGAGTCATTTGGAAAGCCCATCATTTGTGGGTTTCCACTTATTATCCCAAAGCCATGCAGCAAACGTAATATAATCCACCGATGGCCTTAGACTTCCAAACTTAAACAACGAGCCTTCCAAAAATGACAGAGGGTATGTTTCTCAATGGACACTCCAATTCCCAGTTTCCTGCTTTTATTTCTTCTTGATCCTCTCTTTTGTGAACACAAATCTATTTCCTGGCTGCTCCAAGGTCAGAAGACCCAAAGGAGTCCAAAGTCATTAACCAAAGTCTTTCTTGTGCAGATAAAGTGGTAGCCTCATAAGGAAACTTAAAAGAAATGAAGCAGAAAGTCAGGGGTGAGGATGCTAGAATTAGGTCACTCATCTATATTTAATTCTGTTGGTTCTTTATGCAGCTTAACATTTACTTTCCATTTACCTGTGCTTGTTTTGCTGATAAGGAAGCAAAATTCAGACATTTTAAGTGCCTAGAAAGGAAGGATCTTCCAGTCACCATTTTCGATAAGCCCCTTGGACACGTAGACATATACCTCAAGCTTAGTCCAGTGGAAAAAGATCCGGGATTTTCACCACTAAGTCCCCAGTGTTAGGGATCCCCAGCTCTCATCATCTGTCCCATTGGTTGTGCTTTGTTGTTCGCTTTGTGCTGCCTACAGCCGAGTTGGCACAATGTCACAGTTTCAGTTTAGGAAATAAGGGAGCGTGTGAAAGTGAACTTATGGGAAACAGCATGTTGGAAGGAATCCTCTGGAAACTTACCCCTGCTTCCTAAAGAGGAGCCACTCCTGTCCTCTCCTCTGTGGTCAAGGAACACCCAAGGACATCAGCCTAGGCGGATAGTGAGCTGTACAACCTGCAGTCCCAATGTTCCATTTGAAAGGTGTTCTAGACTCCTCTTTTCAACCCAGGGCTGAAGGCCGTCTAAGGGATGTAGAAATGCATCAAACAAAGAAGTAAGGCAGGAGCCTTACAGCCCAGGAGATCCTAAAATTATCTACACAGCTTGGAGGATGAAAGGGAGCACCATTCATACTCTTGCAAGGACAAGAGTTGTCCACTGACACGGTTCAGTGTGGTCACCTTCTTATGAACCAAGGAGACAAGCAGTTCTAACCCTGTTTTGATCTTGAGTCCCTTTGAGAATGGGATAAAATGTATGAACTTTCTCCCTGCACATACCTACCAACATGTATACAATTTTACAAAAATATTCAGGAGTTTCAGATGTCCCTTTAATTCATCCATTGATCCCAAGCTGGGAAACCTTTCATAGTAAAGCTAATAATAATCACAGTCTACGAAGCCACTTCTTCCAAAGCTTCCAGTAACTAATAGCAGAGAAAAAGCGGAGGCCCCAGAAGTCTGTGTGTTTCAGGAAAAAACTCTATTCCTATCTCACCTCTAAATATTCTCTGCCTTGACATCATTAGGTCAGTGCTAATGTCTTTATGCTTCTTTTCCCAACTTTCTTCAATCATTACAAGACACTCAATGTTCCCACACCAGTCCTTATGTCCCAAACTTCAATCCTCATGCAGCTCAGGGGCAGCAGGAAAATTACCCCTGCTCACTCTGCCATTATCTAGCACTGTTGCCCAGCTTCATTTTTTCCAAAGTTCTCGACACCACTTCATATCAGTTGTGTTTTACTTGTTTGACCCTGTTAGAATAAAGGCAGGGATTCCTATCTGTTTGTGCACTGCTTTTTCATACGTATCTAAAAATGGTTCTTGGCATGTAACGGCACTTCATAAATATTTTTTGAATGAAAACCTGATGAATGGAAAGCTAACAGTTATTGAGCTCCTACTAAGTGCCAGGCATGCAAGTGCTTTTACTACACTATTTCATTTTATCTTTGCAACAACCTAATGATGGAAGGACCATTATTATTATTATTATTTATTTTTTCATGACAGAGTCTTGCTCTGTCACTCAGGCTGGAGTGCAGTGGCGCGATTATGACTCACTGCAACCTCTACCTCCCAGGTTCAAGCAATTTTGCCTCAGCCTCCCGAGCAGCTGGAATACAGGTACCTGCCACCACACCCAGGTAATTTTTGTATTTTTAGTAGAGACGGAGTTTCACCATGTTGGCCAGGCTTGTCTCAAATTCCTGACCTTGTGAACTGCCTGCCTCGGCCTCCCAAGGAAGGACTATTATTACTTTCATTTTACAAACAAGGAGGCTGAGACTTTCAGAGGTTATGGAAGGTCTCCAAAGACAGATAGCCAGTGAATGATGGAGCCAAGATGTAGACCCAACCATCTTACTCCAGCATCTGTGCTCTTAAGCACTGGAGTCTTACCATGGTTTGAAGTCATTACATGAAATATTCTAAGTCATGGTTTATTCTGTATCACAGATGGATGTCTTGACTTTTGTTTTCTTTCTTTTCCTGAGCCATGTTTTCTGTTTTTCTAACAGATTAAGAAATAAACCTTAGCTGTTTCTCACAAACACACACACACATACATACCTCATTTCGTTTCATAGCAAAATTGTAATGAGATTTGGAACACTGGACCTTGAAATATTTGATTAGAACAAGTATCTCCATGAAACTACATGCCATTACTCACTTTCTACCACCCCCGCACAAACAATATCCATTTGATGGCAAGTCAGTTTGGAGAGACCCAGTGGTTGCAATTGAGCATTCACAGCATGTTTGGAGCAGAAGCCGGGGAGCCCAGCACACACTCAGAATGTTGCATTCTGCCTGCAAGCCTACAATAGCACATTCATTTCTCATTCATGGGGAAAATGGGACACTTCTAGAAAGAATGGATGTGGGGCAGTTGACTGGGGATTGACCCAAAAGCAAACACATTGTCAACTTGAAAGGACTGACTCACCTTCTAAGACAGAGTTCTCACTGCCTCTAAGATGCTGCTGCTGGGGTAGAGATGTGAGTGCCTAAATCACCAAAAGAAAAAAAATTCACGTATGAAAAGCCTGCTTTAACTTCCACATTCTCATAAATACCAACTGTGAATGTGCTACGTAGTCATCCCTTGCTTATTTGTATTAGTGAGATTACTGAAGGTTCAAATTCAAATGAGCCCCTTCTCTTTTCCCCAAAGTCCTAGCAGGGCTTCAAAGGGCCGCATTATGATATTAAAAGTTTCTGATAAAATTCACTCATTTGGTATGCATAGACATGCCAAGAACTGAGAAAGAAAAGAAAAGAAGAGAGAAGAAGAGAAAAGAAAAGAAAACCAGAGCTCTCATTCTCCTGGGGCTAAACTTAGAGTACAGCAGTTATGCTTTCTACAGAGCATACTGTTAGGTCATTAGTGCTGAATCAGAGTGAGAGCTGCTGTGCTGCTGAGCCATCCAATAGGACCTGAGATGCAGAAGTGGATGCCCCAAAGCATCTTAGCTACATCAAGTCCGATGGCAGCATTTTTTTAGTAGGACCTCAGAAGTTGTGTACCTCTCACTGGTCCTAGAATCTGGGATGCTGGCTTACATACAGATACCTGGGTCTCCTCATGTGTTTATGAAATTAGAATCTCTGAGAGTGGGGGCCAGGAATGTGCATATTAACAATCTCCCCAGGAGATCCTGATGTTCACTGTCATTTGTCCCTGGCCTAGTGATCACTGCTTTAGATCCCTAGGCCTACAATGAAATTAAAGGCTTCAACTTGTTACTCTATATTCTTTTCACTTTGGTGATTTTTCTCATTGTGCTCGTTTAAAACCATCTATTTAGGAGTTAGTAGAGAATTTATTAAGAGCTTGGGATTTACAAATTTAAAAAAATGGTCAAAATCAGCACTTAGTATTTACAACAACCTTGGACAAGTCACTTAGTTCTTAAAGCCTCAGGCAAGTCATGTTAGATGTGGAGTGATACTTACCTCTTGGTATAGTTGAAAAAATTAAATGTGATAAAGACTGTAAGGTGTTTAGTCCAGTGATAGGTATGAAGCAGGATAATGACGAGGTGGCAGTGGCAGTGACACAGAGACCCAGAGCTGGAATGAGGGGGGCTGACAGATTCATGAGGAGTCCTGGTCTTTAGAATCTGAGAACTTGGCAAAACAAGATAAGAGAAGGGATGAGTAAGTTCATGTGAGGATGTTTGTCAGGAACAAAGAAAGCACCGTAGTTCCAGCAGTTCTAAAAATATATCCCTTAGAACAAATCCAGCCTGCTATCTGTTTGTAAATAAAGTTTTGTTAGCACACAGCCACACGTATTTAGTTATATATGGGCTATGGCTACGTTTAAGCTGCAGTGGCAGGGTTGAGTTGCAAGAGACATCGTCTGGCCTGCAGAGCCTAACATGTTTACTAGTTGGTCCTTTTCAAAAAAAAAAAAAAAAATCTGTTAATCCCTACCCTTAGTGAACTGCCAGAGGAGCTTTTATTTTATAAAGGAAGAGGGGCCCAAGAGAGGAAACTGAATCATGAGGAAGACAAAGGTGCCAGCTATGCTGCCTTGTGCTGCCCAGCAACACGCCACATACACACACTCACACTCACAATACACCTCCATCACAACCTCCACGTACCCAGGAGACTTCAAGGATTTGTTCAGTGTCCTCCTTCTAAGGGTTTCTCGGGGCACCCATCCTCCAGCCTGGCCAAAGGGAAGGGGCAAGAGGATGAAAGCCACCACACTAAAACCCAGACCTGGCCCTGCCACTAACCAGCTCTGCAACCCTGGGAAAGTCATTTTATCTTTCTGAGCTTCAAGGTCCTCATTTGTAAAATAAGGAGTTTGGAGTTGTTTGAGCCATTTACTAATGCTACACAGAGCCTAAGTTCAGGCCTCCCCTGAAGGGGTTATCTGTCTTAGTGTGCCTGCCAGAAATCAAGGAGTAAAGAGATAAGAAGTTGATTTGGTTACTGGATATCTCTTGGTCCCCTTCCACATCAAGTTTCAGGCTTATACACTGGGAGTGGCATCCTTAATCTCTACCCAGTTTGGGACACTAGTGGCCAATAAATGAATGTTGATTTATATTCATTATGTCCCCTACTCGCCCCCCTCAAATTCCTGGCTTGAAGCCCTATTCCTCAGTGTGATGGTATTTGGAGACAGGGATTTTAGTGAGGTAAGGTGAAATGAGGTTGTAGGGGCGGTGTCCTAATCTGATGGAATTAATGCCCTTACAAGAACAGCATACACCAGAGAGCTCTCTTTCTCTCTGTGAGAGACATGGTAGAATACAGCGAGAAGATGACCATCTACAGGTCAGGAATGGAGCCACAGCAGAAACTCACCATGCCGGCACCTTGGTCTCAGACTTTCAGCCTCCAGAATTGTGAGAAAACAAATTTCTGTTGTTTAAGCCACTCAGCCTCTGGTATTCTTTTATGGCAGCCTGAGAAGATTAATACAATTAGATTCTAGGTGGGGTAACTTTGTAAAAAAATAACATTTGCACCATCCTTTGCTCAAAGGGCTTCTTCTGCAAATGAGGATTAGAAAGAAGTAGTGGCAAACACTGAGTATCACTGTGGCCACCTGAATCTTTCCATCTCATCTAATCTTTCTTTTGCTTGAAAGTTTGTTTTTATAAAATGAGAAAAGAAGAAAAAATGGACCTTGAAATCATGAGGAATGCATTTGGATCCCAGCTCAATGGTATCGTGCAAATAAAATCTACCTTGAGAGTTTGGGGGTTGATCAAATCTGTAGTCAAAACCCCAATTCACCTTTAGCTGCATTACCTTGGTCAAGTTACTCCACCTCTCTGATGAACAGTTGCTTTATCTACAAAATGAGAATAATATCAGTAATTTACCAGGTCATTGTGAAGATTAAATGCAGTAGAGCATATAAAGAATCTAGCTCATAATGTTATGCAATATCACAAATGTAGCATTTGAGAAGGCAGTTGTGCTGGTTACCTTTTGTTTTGTAACAAATTACTCCCAAACATACTGACTTGAAACAAAGTTTAGTGACTTAAAACAAAGACTTATTATTTTATAGTTTCTTTGGGCCAAGAATCTATGCATGGCTTAACTCACCACCTCTGGGTCTAAGGTTTCTTACAAGGCTACAACTAATGTGTTGGTCAGGGCAGCAGTCTCACTCTAAGCCTTGACTGTGGAAGGATCTGTTTACTCACACGGTTGTTGGCAGAATTTGGTTTCCTGCTGTATTGAGGGCCTCATTTTCCCGCTGGCTCTCTCATATTCCTAGTCATGTTGGTTTCTCCATAGGGCAGCTCAAAACATGGCAGCAAGCTTCCCAGCGAACTAACTAAAGAGAAAGAATGTCCAAGATGGAAGCTGTAGTTTTTTTTTGTAATTGAACCTTATAAATGATACTCTATGAACTTATATCACATTCTATTCATTAGAAATGAGTCACTAAATCTGGCACATACTCAAGGGCATTGGCATTACCAAGGATGTTATCAAGGGAATGAAGACCAGGAGGTGGGGATCCCTGAAGACCATCTTAGAAGCTGCTGACCACAGCAGGGTAAAGTGTGAAGAAGAGTAAAAACATGCTCCGGAATAAGACTGTAGTCAATCCTCCTTATGAATGGAATTTCCCTGCAGGCTAAAATTTATTTGTAACTTTAAAATCAACACTCCTGGCACTTTTGTGTTCACTTGCAGGATTCTTAGAGCAGCAAAAAAATTGAGTCACTCAACACTCAACACAAGCATTCCTAGCTGAGGTGGGACAACAATGTGATCCTCTGCTTTTTCATTTCAGCTCTCAGACTGAGAACAAGTGTCCCTTTTGCGGTCTATTTAGTGTACCATATTTTTTTTCTCATTTCTATGCTTTATATTGGTGATTTTGCTGTTTAAAATGGTCCCAAAGTGTAGTGCTGAAGTGAACCTAAGTAGAAGGCTGCTGTGTGCCTTATGGACAAAATATATGTGTTAAGAGGAGCTTCATTTGGGCATGGGTCACAGTGCTGTTGGCTATGCGTTCAATGTTAATGAGTCAAAGGTACATATTGAATAAGGTGTGTTTAAACAAAACACAATTAAAACAGGTTACATATTGATTGGAGGCTCAAAGGAATCTAACATGTATTTCCTCTAGGAGCAACTGTTTAATATTCACTAATTCACTGCTCATAGCCACTTTACAGAACATAACTGCCACAAATAATGAGAATTGACTGCGCTTCTTAACCTCTTTGTGTTTTGTCTTCACTAAGAGAAAAGTACGGATAACCATAGGACCTACAGCCAACGGCTTTGGGGAGGATAAACTGTGATGTTCCTGGTACAGTGAATAGCACACAGTAAATGCTTAATAAACAGGAGATATTATTATAATTATTGTCTGAGCTCTGTTTCTTCAAGATCATAGCAAATTTTCTGTAAGCGTACTTTCTTCTATTCTGGGACAGTGTCTGGTGCAGAGTAGGCACCCGTGAACGACATGTTGAATGACATAAGAATTCTCTGATCATATTAGGTGAAAGATCTAAAGTTGGAAGAAAGCAAGTTCCTGTTTCTGGTCTCTGGGTTTGATATTACCATTGTGGCTGGCGTGGGTGGGAATGTGTGAAACATTTTAAGAACTCTCTCATTAGAACCCACATCAAGACACTAAATCTATAGTATTGACAGACTGTTGACTCACCTCCCCCAGGAACCCAGAGAATGCCCGGCAGATGGAAATGTACCCAAGACACGGAAGCAGTGGTATTTTCCCCATGTCACCAGGCGTGAGGCCAGAAGCTGATTCGGCAGTGGTATACAACGGGATTAATCATCTGTAAATAAGTCACCTACGTTGTCTTGGAGATGATTTTTTTCATCTCTGCGTGCCAAGTCATCACCATAAGAACCGAGGTGTGACATCCATATGGCCTCTGGGCTTGGTATCTGACCCTGCTTTTGCAAGTTGCTCTTCAGGCTGTCTTTCCTCAAAATGGAAAGCATTTGGGAGCTGTCCATTACAGACTATCTCAGGGAGAGGGTGCAGGTGGATTTCAGGGGCTACCACTATTAGCCCTCTCTTAGGAAGTTAGAAATTATTCAGGAGGTTATTGAGGACACAGCTAAAGGAGGGTATGCATTATATCCTGTTTTCTTCAGGGCATCCTGATGAAGCTGTGTGACTCAGAACCAATTAATCTCTCTGAGGTTTAGTTGCCCTCATCTGTGAAATAGCATCTATTTTGCAAAGCGTATGGAAACTCACCTGGTTGAAGGAGAAACTTAAGTTTATTCTCTGTGGAGTTATATCACCACCTACCCCTTCATCTCAGGGTTTAGTAATAGCTACTAACAATAGTTAACTTTAATTGAGCACTTATAACATCCCAGACATTATCTTGTCTACTCTTCCCTAAACACTTTTACATTGTACAGATAAAGAAACTGAGACACAGAGATGTGAAGTAACGTGTCCAAAATCACATAGTTAACAAGCGGGGGGGATGGAATTTATCCCCAGGTCCTCTGACTCCAGAGTCTGTGCTAACATCTAGGAGCTTCCATTGAAGATATCTATATTTTCACAAGGGCATCTTGGTGATAACAAGATGCATGCTATAAGTTTCAGGTGGTACATTCAGCTAGTGAGAAAGACACCTGCAGAAGACAGGCCCTGCAGCACACCTCTCCCATGATCACCTTCCTCTACTTGAGAGCTGACCACCCAAAATGTGATTGGAAAATTAAACTCACTCATGATTTCTTCCTGCTTAAATAAAGAGCTGTGATTAATTTGGTGTATTAAGTTGTGATTAACTCTGAGACTTTAGGGTCTCAGAGTTTATAGAGCTGAAGTGCAGAGGGCAGAAGTCCCCCAAATTCCACAGACCCTCTCCCACTCCCCAGCTTCATTTTTCAGTAATGCACCGTGTATCCAATACCTGCTCAGTGCCAGGGACTAGACTCAGCATCTGCTGGGCCTTGTCAATACTCTTCCCAAGAATCTCTGAGCTAGCTACAAAAAATTTCCATTTTACAGACGAGAAAGTGAAGGCAGAGCAGTTACGTGACCTCACAAGATAGATAACCAGCAATAGATAGAACTGGGGTTCATGTCCAAGGCTGCCTGGCTTCAACACCAGACCTCGCTTTCCTTACATGGTCACCCCAGAAGGCTCCCCTGATGCTGGAAACCTATGCTTTGTGCCAAAAGGCTTTATTAGTCTGGCTGCTGAAACTGTGGAGTGTGAAGTGTGGCTATGGAGTGGGATGGGAGATGGATGTGCCACAAAAAACAAAATCCTCTCTGGAGACAGAGAGAAGATGTGGCCTGGAACACCAGCTCACATATATTAGGGGCTTAATGTGACTCAGGTTGTAAGTTACCTTTTATGACACCAAGGAGAGATGGAACTGGAAAGGGTCTTGTGCCAGAATTCCTACCTTGGATGTCAACCACAGTTTTGAAGAATGTTTCTTGTCCACCTCAAAAAGGTCAACTTACAGGCCAGCACCACAAAAATCCATTCAAACATGGAAAATCTTTTAAGCATTAATACCTTGAGCTGGGAGCAAAAGAGCTGTTTTGTTTTTAAAGACACAGGACAGATTCTGACACCCAACCCTAGGGCAATTTGGCGCCTACTGAAACAAAAATGGCTACAGCAGCACACACTGGTCTAAGTATAAATTGAAATAACATTCTGAAGGACAATTTAGCAATATAGCTCAAAGAGCTTAAAAATGTATATAGTCTTTTATCCAGCCATTCTGCTTTTAGGATTACAGTCTAAGGAAACAATGAGATATATGCACAAATGAAATCATCACAGCATTATTTTTGTTTTATTTTACTTTTTCATAAGTTATTGGGATACAAGTGGTATTTACTTATATAAGTAAGTTCTTCAGCGGTGACTCATGAGATTTTGGTGCACCCATCACCGGAGCAGTACACACAGTACCATATTTGTAGTCTTTTATCCCTCGCCCCCTCCTACTCTTCCCCCCAAGTCCCCAAAGTCCATCGTATCATTCTTATGCCTTTGCGTCCTCATAGCTTAGATTCCACATGTTAGTGAGAACATATGATGTTTGCTTTTCCATTTCTGAGTTACTTTACTTAGAATAATAGTCTCCAGCCTCATCCAGGTCACTGCAAATGCTGTTAATTCATTCCCTTTTATGGCTGCATAGTATTCCATTGTGTATGTATATATTACAGTGTCTTTATCCACTCACTGATTGATGGGGTTTTGGGTTGCTTCCACAATTTTGCTATTGTGAATTATGCCACTATAAACATGTGTGTGCAAGTGTATTTTTTGAATAATAGATGCCCAGCAGTGAGATTGCTGAGTCAAATGGCAGATCCAGTTTTAGTTCTTTAAGGAATCTCCAGTGCTTTCCACAGTGGCTGTACTAGTTTACATTCCCACCAGCAGTGTAGAAGTGTTCCCTGTTCATCGTCTCCATATCAACCTCTATTGTTTTTTGATTTTTTTATTATGGCCATTCTTGCAGGAATTAGGGGGTATCACATTGTGGTTTTGATTTGCATTTCCCTGATCATTAGTGATTTTGAGCATTTTTTTCATATATTTGTTGGCCATTTGTATATCTTCTTTTGAGATTTGCCTATTCATGTTCTTAGCCCACTTTTTGATGGGATTGTTTGGTTTTTTTCTTACTGATTTGTTTGAGTTCATTGTAGATTCTGGATATTAGTTCTTTGTCAGGTGTATAGATTGTAAAGATTTCCCCCACTCTGTGGGTTGCCTGTTTACTCTGCCGACTGTTCCTTTTACTGCATCACAGCATTATTTTAAAAAGAAAAATAATAGAAACAATCTACATGTCCATTAATAGGGATTTATTGTATTACCCACCGTGACTAAGCTAGACAGGTGCTAAAAGCTCCTGACTTTCCCTCTCACTCTTGCTTCTCCCCAACAGCTCCCAATGTGGCTGATGACACCCTCATCCACGCAGATGCACCAGGCAGAAACCTGGGTGTTCCTGAACACCTCTCTATCCTTACTTCCCCTTCCCAATCAGCCACCTGATTGGGAAGTCCTGTCCCATACAATTGCTAAAGAGACCTCAAATCTGTCTCTTTTATTCTGTGCTCGCTTGACACAACCTGAGTCCAAACCACCAACCCCTGTATCCTGGATACTCTTAGGTGTCCAATATCCATCCAGAGTCTCCAGTTCTAATCTCTACATACTTCTGTAGCTAAAGTTCTTTTAAAAGAAAAATCTGATGATTTCTTCCTTGCTTTCCTCTCGAAGTCTTCCCATTGTACTTGTGGTAAAAGAATTCCACCATATGCTCAATCACAAAACCCCATAGCGGGGGTCAGCAAAATTTTCTGGAAAAGGCCAGATAGTACATACTTTAAGCTTTGTGGACCCTACAGTCTTTGTAACAACTATTCATCCCTGCCAGTGTGGTGTGAAAACAACCACAGAAATTATTTAAATCAATGGATGTGGCTCTGTTCCAATAAAATTTTATTCACAAAAACAGGTGGGGTGCTGGATTTGGCCCCTGGGCTGCTGTTTGTCAATACTTGTCCTGTGGGATCTGGCTTCTATTTTTCTTCCTAATTTCCACAAAGCCACTTCACCCCCATCGAGTCACTGTCTCCTCATCAAGACCTCAGGCAAGCTATTCCCCAACCAGCAATTTTCCTTTCTGTTCCCAGCCTGCCCTACTCTACCCCTCTAGGACCAGCACATTGACCTCTGGCCAGCAGTTTCTCACTATTCCAGTCTCACCTTCAGATATTTTCTTTTAGGTGCACTCCCTACATCCAGGCTAGGTTAGGATGCCCCATTCTTCCAGAAAACTTCATACTTGTTCTTTGCTGAGCTTGTCAAATTTGAGATTAAATAATTCTTAATGCAGTTGTGTGTTTCTATCTCACTTCTGCTAGACTCAAAGTTCTAGGAGATAAGGAATTATGCAAATTATTGAACACAAGTATATTCGTAGTACCTGGCATGGTGTCTGACACATACAAAATGCATTAAATATTTGTGGAAATAAAAATATTTGTTGACTGAAAAAATATGATCACAAAACTAGAAAAAAAGGCCTGAACAGATATATTAGGAGATAAGTGTATAGGTGATTTTTATTTTTTTCTTATACTTTCTTCCATTTTTCAAATGTTTCACAAAAAGCGTATATTATTAGTCTACTCAGAAAAATAATGAATGGAGAGAGAAAGAAAGCTCTGCTTCTGTGTTCAAATAACCTGTGAAACAAGCCCATTTTTGGCACACTCTACATGTGGAACCATCATCCTTTCTCTGCTTAACCAGAGCTGCTTAATAAGCCCCTCTACTTCCATTCTTATTGCCTTTATCTGGTCATTCTTCATTTTCTATAGGTCACTTCCTCAGATCCAGGAGCATCTGTGTATCTTGGTAGTGATCTGAATTGTGCCACTGCTTCTATTCCTGTGGCCGATGGGCACTAGTGTACATATACCCACACAGCCTAATTGGCCATTGAGGGCTTTCCAACGCCAAGTTTAGGAAGGGGTTAAGAGATTAACTGCTGCCATGTGAAATGACAAGCACCGGCAGTTTTGCAATGCAGAAGCTGTCCATGCAGATGGGAAGTGGAACAGCTAACTTATTCATTTCACTCACCAACAGCTCAGCTTCCAACATCTGGTCATTTCCATGCCAGGCTGGTCTCCAAGTGGTACACGGGGGCAGCAGGCCACATGGCCACCATGTTCCAATTTACTCATCTGATAATTCCCTCCACATTCAAGAGGAAACCAATGAAGATGAGACTAATTATTATCTCCAAATAGAGATAGCATTTTGGTCACCTTCCAAAAAAATCGATGTGGTTAGAATAAGAAGGGAGTTAATGATTGACAGGAAATGTGTGGGTTATGTAATGGATTATAGGCCTACAAAGAAGTAAAAGATCTATCACTGACTTTGATTTTTTAAAGTTCCAGATTGGATGCATATTCAACATAATCCCATAGAAAGATAAGCAACAACACAAGGTAAGATAAATAGCAGCCTTAATTGTCCAACAAGTGATAGTGACAGTTAGTGACATGACAGTCACATTCCTTCCAGTTCTGTGAAAGTCAAGGCCATTATTTCACATTCTTAAATTTCATGGCATATCTGAGTGTTATTGGCTATAATTAACAGAAAACCCCGACTTAAGGACTTAAGTAAGAAAACAAGTGTCGTTTCATATTTGAAGTCCAGAAGCAGAGCAGGGGTTGGTAACCTAGCAACTCACAAAGTCATCCTGGATCCTGCTTTTTCCATCTCTTCACTTGGCCATCAAAGATTGTTTCAGCCTCATACCTGGAATTAAAATAGCTGCAGCAATTATAGGCATGACAATCTTTTCTTATGGTCTTCTGTTTGGAATGAGGAAACTCTTTTTGGAAATCCTCCAGCAGATTCCCCTGATGTGTCATTGGCTGGAGCTGGGTCATTAGCCCCATGAGCCAATCTCTGGTACAGGGATAAAGATGACCCTTGGACCAATTAGACTTACCAGTGGAGCTGGCTGTAGGGTCAGCTTCTCCTGAAACATGTGGTTACATGGGTGATGGCTTTGCTAGAAAGGAAAGAAAATGAATTCTAAGCAGCCAACCAGTACTGTCTATCACTCATGGATAATTTCAAGGTGAGAAACATTTCACACCTGCAGAATCTGGTATTGCAATGACCTTTCCAGCTTCATCTCTCACTATGTAGGTCTCCATCAGACACCCTAGACTACTAAGCCGGCTGTGATTCTCTCAATTCTTCGAGAGCAATGTGCTTTCTCAAACCACCCTGGAATGAATTACTTCTGTTTCTCAACTTTAGGCTAATTATACATTGTTGTTTGCCCAGAATCGTCTTGCGTCCTGGTTTACACTGGTTATCTTTGTATTATTACTAATAGTGACCCTTTTTCACAAGCCTTCCAATTTGGATAAGAACATGAAAAATATTTAGGAAAGAGAACGGAAGTGTTCGGGGATTGGTTGTGGAGAGTCAAGGAAAGAAAGCAGTTTAGGATGACTCTCAGGCATCTGACTTGGGAGGTTGGGTAGGTAGAAATAGAAGTCATCAAAACAGGGAATCAAGGAGGGGAAATTATTTTGGGGAAGATGTTAATGAGTTAAATGTTGGACTTAGGACATAACTGGGTACAGATGATCAGGTAAATGTTAACTATGTAAGTTCAGAATTCAAGAGAGAAAGACATTATCTGGTGATAGAAATGTGTGAAATAGGATCACCCTGTAATCCCGGCACTTTGGGAGACGAAGGCGGGTGGATCACTTGAGGTCAGGAGTTTGAGACTAGCCTGTCCAACATGGTGAAACCTCAACTCTACTAAAAATATAAAAATTAGCTGGGTGTGGTGGTGTGCGCCCGTGGTCCCCACTGCTTGGGAGGCTGTGTGGCAGAGGTTGCAGTGAGCTGAGATTGTGCCAATACCCTCTAACCTGGCCAACAGGGCAATAATCTGTCTTAAAAAAGAAAAAGGCAATGTGTGAAATAGCATCTAGATACCTGAAGAAGTAGTATGTAGATACTTGAAGTCATGAATATGAAAGAGATGACCCAGAAGAAATGCAGAATTAGAATGTGCCCATGGTAAGAGTCCTGGTAAGACCAACATTTAGAAGTTGTAAAAATGGAGAGAAAGCAGTGATGCAGACTAGGAAAGACTGACCAGAGAGAAAATTGGGGAATCAGGAGAGTAGAGGCATGGAAAATGAGAATTTCAAGAGGAAAGCAATAGTTGGTGAAGTCCCTAGTGTTACAGAGAGCTCAGATAAGGTAAAGATCAAAGAGAGTATATGGACATAGGAATTCATTGGCCACCTTTCCTGGAGCATTCAGAGAACAGCATAGAATTATATCATTTTAGTATGAAAGACGACGTCATTAATGACCTAGTTTTTTATGAGAAAATGCTGTTTTCACAAGGTTAATTAAGATTTAGTGGCAGAGCCTAGACTAAAACTGCCAACACTTGACTCATCATTCATGGAGTTGGCCTATCACATTGTGCTGTCCCTTTCTGTGTGCTGAAACTGCAGAGATTGGTGAAAGCGGGAAGCAGGCGGAATCAACACACATCAGTCTCCAAGAATCTGGACAAACAAAGAGACTTCCTCTTCTCCCCATCTTCACTACTGCTACCTTGGCTGAGGCCACGATCACAACACACCTGGACTGCTGCAGTCGCCTCCCGACCGATCTCCCTACTACCTCCAGTCCACCCTCCTCACATCAGAAACGCATCATATACTTCTCTGCTTAAACCAATTCAAGGAAGCACCAAGGCAGTTCAAAGAGCGAAAGGAGCTGGCACAGAAATAACTGGATAAACATCTGAAAAAAAAAACAACTAACCACTGTAATGGCCAAAAATACAATTTAAAATGAATCATAAATCCAAACATAAAAACGAAAAGTGTGCTGTGCTGTTTCTACTATAAAACTTAAGAACGTAATCCGTAACCTCGGCAAAGGCAAAAATTTTTAGATGCAAAACAAAAAGCACTCATCATTAAAGGAAAAAAAATGGACTTCATCAAGATTAAAAGCTTAATGATCATCAGTTAAGAAAATGGAAGAGGCCAGGCACGGTGGCTCATGCCTGTACTTCAGCACTCTGGGAGGTCGAGGTGGGTGGATCATGAGATCAGGCAGTTGAGACCAGCCTGGCCAAGATAGTGAAACCCCGTCTGTACTGAAACTACAAAAAGTAGCCAGGCATGGTGGCACACACCTGTAATTCCAGCTACTCGGGAGGCTGAGGCAGGAGAATCACTTAAACCCAGGAGGCTGAGGTTACAATGAGCCAAGACTGCACCACTGCACTCCAGCCTGGGCAAGAGAGCAAGACTCCATCTCAGAAAAAAAAAAAAAAGAAAAAAAGGAAAGAAAATGGAAGAAAGTCTTCGACTGGGGGAAAATGTTATTTTATATATATATATATATATATATATATATATATATATATATATGCTCGTATTTCAGAATATATAAAATCATTTTACAAATCAATAAATAAAAGACCAAAACCTCAATTAAAGAAACTTTACAAGACACATCACTAAAGAAGACATATGTAAGGACAGAAAGCAAATAAAAAGGTGCTCTAAGTCATTAATTATCAAGGAAAGGTAAATTAACATTTTAATGAGCTACTATCTCATACCCTCATGGCTAAAATTAAAAAGGACAGACAATCCAAGTGTTGACAGGGGATTTGGAAGCAGCTGGAACTTTAATACATTGCTGTGTGGAGGGCAAAATGGCACATCTACTTTGGAATGCTGTGGGAAGTTTTTTATAAATACGTACCTATCAGAAAAAATAAACAAAATTAGAAGACTTATACCACACAATTTCAAGAATTACTATTGTAATCAAACAGTGTGATAATGGTGTAAGGATAGACATATACAAAAATGAGACAGAATAGAGCATCCAGAAATAGAATTACTGTATATGGTAAATTGGTTTTTGATGAAGGTGTGAAAGAAATTTAATGAGGAGCAGGATAGCTTTTTCAATAAATGGTTCATGAACAAGTGGATATACATATACAAATGTGAACATCACATCATATACAAAAATTAACTCAAAGTGGATCATAAATCTAATCATAAAACTAAAATGATAGACTTCTAGAAGAAAACCTTGTGACCTTAGGTTCGGGAAGGATTTCTTAGGACACAGACATTAAGCATAAAAGAAAAAAAATGATAAATTAGACTTCAGCAAAATAAAAATAAATTGCTTTATAAAATATACCATTACAAAACTGAAAATACATGCCACAAACTGGGAGACAATATTGGCCAAACATATCTCTAATAGAGAGGTATGTTTGTATACAAAATATAGAAAGAATTTTCAAAACTCATTAACAAGAAAGTAACGTCATTTTTTTAACTTAAAAAGATTTAAGCAGACATTTCTCCAATCTATGAAAATGATACTAAGCATATGAAAAACTGCTCAATATCATTAGTCATTAGGAAAATGCAAAATAAAACCAAGTGAGAAAAACGGCAAAGTAAGCTTCTTTGAAAATTCTCTCCTCTGTAAAAGGAATGAGAAAGCTCTTACATATTGCTGAGCATCTAAGAAACCATGTGCATGGCATTGTGCCAGGAAAGGCCTGCGAAGGGCCTAAGCTCTCACTTCTTGCTGACCATGAGGCTCTATGCAAGAGGAAATTGAGGGCTGAGGTGGAGCCGTCAACTGTCTTGCTAAGTGTTCAGAGCATGTTCCTGTATTCACACACAGCTGCTTTGCAAAGACTGGGTGACTTCTCGGTTCTAGGCACTTAAGACAATATTTGCACAGTCATTAGCTGTCCAGTAAGCTAATTAAGCGGTGACTTCAGTGGCCACCCTCAACAAAGAATGCAGATTTGATAGAAGTAGGTCATAAAAGTCATTAAACAAACAATAACTACAACGGAAAGCAGCAGCAACAACAACCCTAGAAAGGGGAGTGAAACTGATTTCCAGAGCTGCTGCATTATGTTATTTAAAATATACGGTTTTCAACAAAAATTATGTAATATTTAAAGAAATAAGAAAATATGACCAATATGCATGGAAAAAAAGCAATCAATAGAAACTCTCTGAAAAATCACAGATATTAGACTTACTAGACAAAGAATTTAAATCAGTTATTTTAAATGTCTTTAAAGAACTAAAATATGCCATGTCCAAAAAAACTAAAGGAAATCATGAGACTAATCTCTCACCAAATAGAAACTACCACTAAAGAGAAATTATGTAAAAGAACCAAATACAAGTTCTGGAGTAGAAAAGTATAACAACTAAAGTGAAAATCCACCCGAGGGGATCAATCACATATTTGAACTGGCTGAAGAAAGAATTAGCAAATATGAAGATAGGTCAATTGAAATTACCCAGTCTGAAGAATGAACGAAAATAGAATGAAGGAAAATCAACAAGACATCAGAGACCCATGGGATAACACCAAGCATACCAAGAGATGGCAAAATGGGAGTGGGAGTAAGGTAGGTAAGGGATAGAAAGAGTATTTGAAGAAATAATGGCCAAACTTACCAAATTTTATGAAAAAAACAAAACAAACAAAAAAAAAACAACAATAACCTACATATCCAAGAACCTCAACAAATTCCAAGTAAGATAAACTTCAAAGAGACTGACACTTAGACAAACCATAATCAAATTGTCAAAGCCAAATCAAATAACATTCTACTACACACTAACTAGAATGGTCAAAATTTATTTATTTTATTTTATTTTTACTTTTAGTAGATAATGGGGTCTCTCTCACTCAGACTGGTCTCAAACTCCTAGGCTCAAGCAATCCTCTTGCCTTAGCCTCCCACAAAGTGCTGTGATTACAAGCATGAGCCACTGTGCCTGGCCTAGAATGGCCAAAATTTTAAAAGTCCCCTGGAACTCTCTGGCATTGCTAGTGGAAATGCGAAATGAAAAGCTATATAGGAACGTATTTCTCACTTTCATATAAGTTAACATATACTTAGCACATAACTAAGCAACTTCACTCTTAAAAATTATATTTAAATGTTTATAGCAACTTTTTTCAGAACAGCCCCAAACTGAAAACATCCTAAATGTGTATCAACTGATAAATGAATGGATGAACAAATGGTAGCATATCCATACAATGGAATACTACCCAGCAATTTAAAGGTATGAACTAGTAACACATGTATCAACATGGATAAATATCAAAAGCATTATAAGTAAAAGAAGTGAGACATAAAAGACCACATAACCATATGATTTCATTTATATACAAAAGTCTAAGAAAGGTAAAACCATGATGACAGAAAGCAAATCAATGACTGCCAAGGACAACAAGCTGGGGAAGGACATTGATTGCAAAGAGGGATGAGAAAATTTGGGGGATGATGTAAAAGTTCCATATTACGATTGTGGTGATGGTTACACACTGCATGTATTTGTCAAAACTCATCAAGTAATTTACTTAAAATAAGTAAATTTTATTGTATGTAAATTATAACTTAATAAAGCTAATTAATTCAAAACATAAAAGGAAACAATCATATACCTACTTGGTGATCCAACAATTCCACTCCTAGTTATTTATCCAGGAGAAGTCCTCAGAAAAACTTGTATAGAAATGTTTATAGCGGCTTTATTTATAATGGCCAAAATCTGGGGGCTGGAGGAAGCCCTTCAACAGGAGAATGGATAAGCCAATTATGGACATTTATACAATAGAATGTTACTTAGCAATACAAAGGAACGAACAACTTGGATGAATCTCAAAAACACTGTGCTGAGGGAAAGTGAGACACAAAACAATACATGGTGTATGATTTTATTTATATGAAGTTAAGAATAGGCAAAATATATATATATGGTGATAAAAATCAGAAGAGTGGTTGCCTGTTCCGGGTGGTAATTGATTGGAAAAAGGCCTGAGGGAACTTTCTGGGGTGATGAGAATATTCGATGTTGGGACTAAGGAATTTATTGTAAGGCACATGGATTTATCACTCCTGGTAGAATGGTACACTTAAAATCTGTACATTTCAGCAAACGTAAATTTCATAAACTCCAAGTGATCCTCATTACATTTAGAATAAAATCAAGACTCTGGAGACCTTCGAGGTTCCAGCCTGCCTTTCCAATTTACTTTGTTCTACGCTATCTTTCCCTCCCCGTTCTCCAGGCACCTCTAGCTAGTCCCAGTAAGCATGGCCTTTGCCTGTGTTGTCTTCTTTGCCTGGATGCTGTCCCCTGCTTCTTCACATGGTCGGGCCATCCTCATACTTCAGGTCTAAGATGAATCCCAGCTTGTCTGAGAGACTTTTCTTGACTATACCTGAAGTAGCCCTGCTTGGTTGTCTTTGCCCTTGGTTTGTTTCTCTCATGGCATTTATTAATAATCCTTGCTATTTTTTGGCCAGTCTACTTACTTGTGCCAGCCCACAGAAGGTAAGTTCTCAGCTCTGTGAATAGTATAGTTTAGTATTTTGCTTTTCTTTGTTGAAGGGTATAGACTATGGAGGTTTAAAATTTGTTTTAATTAAAAAAATGACACTCATCTCTTTTTTTCTCTAACCTGTCTTAAACACTTCATCCCTGTTGGCCCTGACTTTCCAAATTAAATTAAAAGTTTCCAAAGGTAGGAGTCAGACTAATTTATTTCTAAATGGGGCTCCCTAGACACTTACATGCTTTGATTTGATTTGCTACAAAAGCCTTACCTGCCCCAAATTGTTGAGCTCACCTGTTACTATGTCAGAACATCAGAATCTTCAACCTTAGGAGTCTTTTTCTAGGTCAAAACAAAATATCATTAGAAGACCCCTGTGGAAATACAAATATACTCTCGGGGGTGAACTAAAATGTTGTCATGTAGGTATAATGACATGCTGTGAAGTTTATGTCCCCCTAAAAATTCATAGGTTGAAATTCTAGCCCCCAAGGTGATAGTATTAGAAGGCGGGACATTTTGTGAGGTTCCACCCTCATTAATGGGATTGTTTCCTTATAAAAGAGGCCCAAGGGGGCTTGTTTGCCCCTTCCACCATGTGAGGACTCAGTGAGGAGGCACCATCTATGAATCAGAAAGCAGGCCTCACCAGACACTGTATCTGCCAGCATCTTGATCCTGGACTTCCCAGGCCCCAGACCTGTAAGAAATACATGTCCGTTGCTTATAAGCTACCCAGTCCATACTATTTTATTATAGTGGCCTAAAAAGACTAAAACTATTATTAATAGCTCAGCTCTCTTTTACTCTTAAAATTGTCCAGTTTTGGATACTAAATTATATCCTACCCATCAGGAAATCTGATACCCTACCCATCAGGAAATCTCATTGGCATAGTGGCACAGAGGAGAAGGGAGCCTTGGTGGGGGCTGAGGCACAGCTGCACTTGGAGAAGAGACAGGCCCATAAAGCTAATAGGAGGTGCCAGGTGTTCAGAAAGACACAGGAATGGAAATGGTGGGCGGCAAAAGAGACCCCAGAAAGGGAATAGGGGATGTTCTGGAACAGGAGTCATCAAGACAAACTTTGCTACTTAACAATTTTTTCAGGTGCCAGTTCAGCCCGCAACACACACAACCCATTTACCTTTCCTGGAGGCAAAGGTGATAACTAGCACCAGACTTGTCCAGAAGAAAGTTAATACATTTTAATAATTTATATTCAACCCACAATCCTTGTTTATTCTAGCAAAGGAGTTAGGAGCATCTATTCCAACAGTAATTCTTTGGCGGAGTCATTTTCCAGTAGTAGCTGAAACTGTGTACAAGGTAAGCCCTGAGGGATAGGCTGAGGGGAAAATCCTCCGTGGAGCTGGGTGAGCAGTGGTTCTGAGGACAAAACGTTGGCTAGAGAATCCCAGTTTCTTGGTCCCTCAGGGAAAGTTAGTGCAATTCTTATTAATGCCTACCTCAAGGTTCTCTGTTCTGACAACTCACTGTGAGCATCTCATAAGCAGAGCTGGTCTATGGGGAAAAACTCCTTTTCAGATTTATCTTTCTACAAGCCTGTAAAAGATTCCCCCTTTTTTCTGTCGTCTCCTGTCATGGCTGTTGGCTGATGTAAAACCCAAGACTCATCACCAGGTAAAATGTTCACAAATGTTTCCAATCAAGGTCTGCCAGAGGTTAAATTTGCCTTTTTTACCCATTCCCTGCCACAAGCCCAAAGAGCAAAGGCAATATCACCATGAGCCGTTTTATACCATGCTCATCATATATCATGCCACAGGGAAACAGTCATGGTTTTTGTGAACTGTAAAAACTTACACCAAAAATGTGGTCACTTGGCAGCTTTTTGGATTGCCTTACTTTTTCCTCCCCAGCAGGGCTTTTCTTGAGAATTGTTTTCCCAAGTGGCAGCTTGTGTTTATTCTATTGGGCTTTTGGAGAACTTAGGAAAAGGAAAAATCAACAAAGTGTAGTCATGCACATGGAAAACCATATGCTTCATAAAACTGCATATGTGCTGTGTTTAAGATGTAAAGGAAGATATGCAAAAACAGCCACCTGCCAACTTCCCAATCCACCTCAATTAAAAAACTCAGACAGCCCTTGTTCATAGTCAAAAACTACAGTGACGCCTGCCTTAAATTTCACAGATTGTTAAACCTGAAAGCTGAAAGAGCTATTCAAGTTTGCAAATTCCAATTTCTACAGGGAGTACGCAGATAACTCCCTGTAGAATAAGTGGAATGAGCCGGAAGGGATGGTCGCTGTAGAACTGGGAGCGAGGGTCTTGCCTTTAGAAATTGTTGCCAAACAAAAACACAAAGAAAGCGAGAAATCCACATTATGAATTTCCCTGAATTTTTCAATGTTATTGAATTATTCAGATTTAGTCTAAAACATTCTATAGACTAAACAATATAAAACTCCACTAAGATTTGATCCATGGGTTTCCAGTGTGAGACTTCTAGAATAATTTCACTGTTTTTTGTTTGTTTGTTTGTTTTTGAGACAGCATCTCACTCTGTCACCCAGGCTGGAGTGCAGCAGCACAATCATGGTTCACTGGAGCCTTGACCTCCCCAGGTGCATCCGATTCTCTTATCTCAGCCCCCAGAGTAGTTGGGACTTCAGGTGCGTGCCACCAGGTCTGGCTAATTTTTTTGTGTGTGTGGAGATGGAATCTTGCCAGGCTGGTTTCAAACTCCTGAGCTCAAGTAATCCATCTGCCTCGACCTCCCAAAGTACTAGGATTACAGGTATGAACAACCATGCCCAGCCTCATTCTTAATTAATAATAAAGAAGTTTGAGCAAACAAAGATACTTTCTCAAAGTCACACTGATTGTAAATACCAAAGGTGCCACCCGGGCTCAGCTCCTCTAACCTCCTGGTATTTTCCTCCTAATTCTGGTATTGCGCCACCTGCTTTAACTTGCAAGGTTTTATATATAGGTATTCAGAAGGTCAATTTCATTGTGTCTTTGTCCTGATTATTTTTCTTTTGCTCTTCCAGATCCATTCTGCACCCTTCTTGATCTGTGTTTCAGGAGGCTGGCCTATGTGGACTAGGTCAAAGAACTTCTTTTCTCTCTGGCTTTTAGCTGAGGCTAGCCAATGGGAGCTCCCAACAGGAATGCAGAGGGAAGGCAGGAGGAGAGTGAAAACGGTATGTTTATTCTCTTTGCTTCTTTCCCATTTCTTTCCATTAAGAGCTGCTCCATGGAGCTTATTTCTCCAAGTTTCAGTAACGGCACCCTCTCCTTGCCCCTTCAGGCTTGAGGGTAGTAAGGGAACAAAAGTTCACGATGTGGGTCTCCACACTCTCCTCCGTCGCACATTCGGTAGTAATGGCTCCCTGTTGTTATATTGTTTGTTCCTTGCTGGTTTCCCCAAACTCTGTCCGCTTGGTTGTAAACAGTCTCTTCATTTAAATCTCTTTGGTTACCCAGTGGAACTAACCTGACCACCACTTGCTTTGCCTAATGAGGGTCTCCCTTAGTACTGAGAATCTTGTCTCCTAAAAAAATCCCTCAGTGCTGGGCAAACTAACTTATGCATGAGTCCTATTTGTATATTTCTTTTAAATTTTCTGCTTCTTATACTACTTCTATCTTTAATAATTTAAAGTGCTCTTATTTTATAGTCTCATAAAGACAATTCTATTATTTTGAATCTTTAAAGTGCTAATTATCCTTTTGAGGCATCTTGTAACTCTTCCTTACTATGGTAAATTTCCGGCTGTGAATCCTTCATGCCCTGATTTGTAAAAATGTCCCAACAATGCAGTTTCGCAATCGCTCCTATTATATCCTAGGGTTTTCATAGACGTAGGCAATCTGTGCTAACTTGTCACTGGTATACATTTAGATACCATGCCCATATGTGGCCCAGACCTGGGGTTTTGATTTCTTAGACACAGCTTTTTCTTTTTCTTTTTTTAAACTGGGGTTCTAGATGGGTGGCAAGCTTACTTGCTTCTTTCCTGGACTCAGATGTGGAGTTTTTGTAGTCACCATCCAACAGACAATGCAGTGTTTCAAGGTTCATGGCTTTATGCTGAGGCTCAGCTCTATTTTCCCTACCTAGCAAGGGCTTGAGGCCACATTTCCTGTACTCCAGTGGGTGTTAAATCCCCAACCTTCAGCTCTTAGCGCTTATATCTGGGTTAGAAAATTTTGCTGAAATACCAACTCTCCATTACTGCCCTGGCTTTTATTTCTCTCTTCAATTCTTGTACCTGGGGATTTTTTTCTTTTATGCCAGAGTATTTTTAAAAATTCTATTTCTATTTTTTATTCATCCTTTCTACAAGTTTGCTCTTCTGTATTATCAGAACCAAAGATCACTTTGAAACACTGCAGTTCATGTCCAGCATAAAGCTGAGGTAAACTATGCGGTCCTGCGTCTTTCTGTCTTGCATAGTCACTAACAAAATTCAGCTGACAAATTAAGGCCAAAATAGAGTGAGTCTGAGGGGCCTAGACTTGGATACCTAACAGAGTGTGAGTCACTTCGGATATTAATCTAGCCTCATTTATAGTGATTGGCACCAGGAGGCAAGGTGGAAATGAAATATTCATTGCCCATTCAATATTACCTAATCTGTATGTCTAAGTTGTTGACAAAAGAGAAGCCTTTGCTGTCTACTTTATGAGTAATTGTAAATTAATATGCAACCCTGCACCCATTCCAGGGAGAAGAGAATCACTTGGATTTGCCAACTGTTCAACAGCACGGCCTGGTTTTATCCGCAGATGTCACCCATCCCACCTCCCACTGTTGGAAATCAGCTGGAACAGAGAGGCTTCCTAAGAGAAGTGCCTTTGGATAATGTCATAGAATCCTGAATCTAAGAATCTTAAATAATCCAGATTAAAAGCAACATGAAAGATTATGTTTGAATTTAATAAATGAGGAAGATGAGGTACAACTTGTATTTCAGGTACAGATATTTCCTCAAATTCTTCCAAGCACTTATGCAGCACTGCCAGACATCGCCATTTTGCTCCTGCAATTATATTCTTGCTACGAGGCTTGCTGATATTTTTGTTTTCACTTGAAAAGTTGTATTGAACAGATCCTTAAACGTTCAATACCTACATAGATACAGTAGGCAGGACTGAAGTGCTATATCCATCAGCATGACTTACAGCCCAAAGACAGTTGCTTTTTCTTCATTTGCTTAATACATTGGACCCTGAGGTTTCCTAGGGTTTGGTTAGAAAAGAAACGCTCAGGGCTTTGACAGTTTGCAAATGTTAACTTGAAGTTCCAGACACTTCTCCAAGCACGTAGGCTGTCAGCATAAAAACCAGGGCTCCATAGCACAAAGCAGTCATCTCCACCATTCCCCAGCCTGGGGCCCTCTCTAGAGAGATTCAACTCAAGTTCAAGGCTGGGCGTGGGAGGCCCTCTCTGAATCTAATTTCTTTATTTAACCAAAAGGGCAGGGGCCAGTGGGAGAGGGTCTCAGAGGAATAAGGCTGTGTGGGGGTTAACCACAAGCGAAAAGAATTAATGTAATTGGAAAAGAAGAAAACGGTCATAATAAAACTGGTATCATCCATGCCCTTCTCGTTTATTATCTTATTTTATCATTACCCCAAAAAAGTGGTGAGTTAAGTACCAGTATTAGTCCCATTTTACAGATGAACAAAACAAAGGCACAAGCAGCTCAGTAGGTGGTCACATAGCTGGTAAGTGGCAGAACCAGAATTTGATTCAGACATTTCTACTCAAGAGTCTCCAGTGTTAACCACTATGCATGCTATGTCACAGATTCTGAGGAGCACCATAATTCAAATGCAATGCTTATATGTTCCATTTGCATTTTCTTAAGTCTGCTCCCTTCTTTAATAGTTGTAGGTTTTGTTAACAGTAGTCACTAAAATTTTCCTGTATGAAAAAGCAGCGGGGTAAATACTTTACATCAATACATTTTCTTACTTAGTCTCACAGCCCTATGAGGCATTATTAACTGCTGAAAAAGCTTGACACTGAAGGTTATTAGCCCAAGGTCATACAGGCAGTAAATGGCAGAGACTAGATTTAAAGCCAAACCTTCTAATTTTGAAGTCTGAGCTCTCATTACTGTGACAGTGAACCTCAAACTCTATACCCTAGGAATCTTTTAGGAAAGCAAATTCCAGGCCTCTATTCACAAATTCTGAATAATAGGTCTGGGTAAAGCCCTGGAATCTAAAAAAGAAACCTCCCTGGATGACTCTGATGCCAATTGCCTGAGGATTCTGCTTTACCAAACCCTCCCCACCACACTATTATTATGACTATAATGGGTCGAGCATTACCTGATCAGTTGTATTTTAGCTGTAACAAAGTACTACTGCTAAAGCGTTGGAGCAAGATGTCTAATTCCTTCTCTCCTTTACTTGTTGGGACTATCCAAACCCAACAGGTTCTATGCTATTGCTTCCTGAATTTGCTCCCTGTATTGCAGGTGTCTCTTTCTCCCCACTCGGTTGTCACCCTGAGTATCAAGGTGACTGTGTTAGTTAGGGCATTTACCATTGCAAGTGACAAAACCCAATTAAAATCAGCTTAAGCAAAAGAGGGAATTTACTGGCTCATTGGACTGAAACATCCAGGGGCAAATCTACCTTCAGGCATCATGTTCAAGGAATGTATCTCTCTCTCTGTCTCGCTTTGGTTTTCCTTTATGTTGCCTTCATTTTCAGGCCCAGGATCTCCTCAAGCGTTTATGGCCACCTGCAGCTTCAAGCTTATATCCATGCAGTTTAGTGACTCTACAGAAAAGAGTCTCATTCTCAATTGTTCTGGCAAAAATCCTGAGGCTGATTTTCATCAGATTGTCTTAAGTTCTCATTCTTGAACCAAATACTGTAGCCAGAGGGTGTGGAACATTCTGGTTGGCTGAACATTGGTCAAGGGCCCACTGTGGGTGAGAAGGTCAGCCTTACTATTACCACATGGAATGAGAACGGCAGACAGGTAGTTCTCCAAAGGGGAGAGCTGGAAAAAATAAAAAGGATAACAGGCAGGGAAAACTACCTAAGTCCAGCACATTGGAGCAAGATGTCTAATTCCTGGAGCAGAGATAGCCATGCTACAATGTATTCTCTTCCCAGATGATGACGTGGCAGGTTATTCCCATACCTAACTGAATTAGGCTGGCTTGGGGACCCTGATGCTCCGCACTAGCAAAACAAAACAAAAGTTGGCCCTTTACAAACATTGTAGAACACATCATAGAATTTTATGGTTGAAAAGGACCTTATCGATCTTCCAGTCCAGCCATTTAATTTTGACATTTAAAAAAATCAACAGAATTAACCATTTTGAGTCAGAAAATTCAATAAACCATTCACTGAGCACATAAGCAAAGAGTGAACATGTTCTTTTGTGGAAGCATCACTAGAAGGTTTTGGAGTCTTGGGTTCTGGTTGCAGGAGGTGGCAAGTCCCCTCAGCAATTTGGTATTTGTCTTCCTCCATCTGGAGATTTATAAGGCTTTTCTCAGTGATGTACTATTAGAGTCAGGGCTAGAACCCACATCCCCAAGCCTAGGACTCTTTCTTTCAACTCTGTAGTTCTTTGTGGGAGGTATCTCCTTTTCTTACCCTGGCTGTATTTTCTTCCCTCTTCACTGTAATTTATGCTTTCTACCCAACAAAAGTTCGCATCTTCTTCAGCCTGCCTTTAGTGACTGCCCTCCAAACACCTAATGTTAGTGGGAAAGTAGCAATAGGTGAGACGTGATTGGTGCCCTCAAATTTATAAGATGGGTGTCAAACTTCTTGAAAAATAACACTTTCCTGCCAGCTCACCCCTTTCTGCCACATTTTTGTCTTCAGTCTCAACAGTTCAGAACCATCCCCAACCTCTCTCATTGCCCCAAATCTCCTCCTCCTCAGGGAGGCTGTGTGGACACAGGCTGACTGTTCACTCTCCCACCCTACGGGCCCCGAATAATCTTTCTTGGAACTCATTCTGCACCACTGACACCCTCCATTACAATTTAACGGCAAGCCTAGTAAAAAGATGACGTGCTTTATTGGCAATTCAAATCAGGTTATTGGGCACCATCTGCCTTTCTTCAAATTAATGGGAAGAAGGAATGGATCCTTTGGGCTTTGTTTATTTTTAGATGATCACAAAGGAACCCAGCAAGCTGCCTTTAGACCATGTTAATCCCCACTGTAAATGAGGCTAAAATACCGAGGGGCAGCAGGGGGTGGTAATAAGTGACGGTAAACAGGTCTCCATTCACATGCAGAGATCATGGGAAAAGCAGAGGAAAGTATTCCTGTCTCCCTGCCTTCATCATGTCATTTCCCTTCCTGGTGTTAGATATAGTGAACCCCAAGTTTCTCTTCAAAGAATCTATATGTAGGTATGTTCAGCTCTCTTATTCTTTAATTCTCTATTTTAAAGTTTAACTTCCTTGTAGTTCCAGTAAACAGCCTTCTCCACCAATTCTAATCAGTAGTTCACATTTGTTCCCGCAGCCCCCACGCTCCAACCTGACTCATCCCAGTTACCTGCTTCAGTCACCTGCTCCAGTCACCTGTTCTGGTCACCTTCTTTGACGTAGGTCACCCCTGGCTACCTGCTCTGACCCACCCATAACCACCCTTCCCACCAAACCACCCACCCTGCCACTCCAGCTCGGACCCCTGCTCCCTTTAAAATAGCCAATCAGGATTAATCTATGTGTGGTCTAACCCTAGCCAATAGGGGAATGACAGAGCAGTAGGGGCAACCCCCATCAGGCATAAGTACCCCTTTTCCTCCCTTGCCCAAATGTGTGGTCACCATTGCTCCATCCATGAGCTGCACTATTCTATAGAAGTAAACTGCCTTGCTTAGAGGATTTATCTTCAAGTGCTATTTCTTTTGCAGCACCGAAATTTTACATATAACGCTGGACCAACTGGGAAAAAAAGCCAACAGAATTACAACCCCAAGGGGGTAGCTGACTGAGGCTGCCTGAGTAACAGAAGTGTGGCAAGAACGTCCTCTCTTCTGCAACCTGTATCAAATTCAGGCCAAGCTGGTGGTTATGTTTCACCTTTGATTTCAGTTCTGGAGGCAGATGGAGCTCCAGAGACCTGGAAAACACTAGACAGATCAACTTTGGACTTGACCAAGAAATTCCCTCCACACAGTACACCTCCCTCAGGCTGACTTTCTAAAGCTCTTCCCCTCACAGGCACTGGGCCTAGAAGGATCCAGTTAAAAAGCAAACAGGTTCACCAGGAGATGAACAAGTAACTCATTAGCAACTGCTATCCCGTCAGCACAGATAGCTGAGCAGATGGCTGCACTGCACTCTGAGGGAACGAGCACTGGGCTGAGAAGGGTGGATGGGCTACAGGACTGAACATGAGTCTCCTGGGAGCAAAGACATAGAAGAAAGGGAAGATTCTGGTGGGAGAGAGAGAAGAAGATATGATATTTAGGTTCTAGGAAGCTTGGAGGCAAGGATGGAGTATTGCCCAGAAAAGAGGAAAAGAAAGTGATGGAGAGCTAGAGAAGTCACAGAAAAGGGCAAGGATATTTCAAATATAATTTTTGCTAAGTGTATTGTCCCAGATTGGAAGGAATATCAGAGCATTTGATTTTTCCATCTTTAATACAGTCATAGGTATTTCTGGGGTGGGTGGTGGGGGGCAGGGGGCAGGGGAAACAGAGGAGGCTATTTATTTTAGTAATCTGTACATTGATGTATTAATAAATTAAAATGATCTTATTGCTGTAATTTGTTTTGTTTGTTATAAAGTATAAGAACAACTTTTAACAATTCCCAGCAGCAATTATTTCATTTGGGAGTATTTTTTGCAATAGACTTTAGTGCACAATTGTCCACTATTTTACAACCTCCTATTGACGTCCTGTCAGTACCTCATAATTATTAAAGAATTTCATCATTAAATGTGCCTGGGAAATGCTGAAATCCACACTCTCATTCCTTCTGTTTCAAGTGGTCTTTGTTTGCACACACCCAGCAATGGAGAATGCCAGGTCACCAGCAGTGGCAGCTCACTTTGCTGTTGGAAAACTCCACTGGGTAGAGTAATCTCCTTGTGTCAAATCCAGTGGTTCTCAGCCTTTAGTGCACATAGTAATCGGTGTAGAGTTTGTGAAACCTGCCTTGCTGGGTCTTATCCTCAGAGTTTCTGACTCAGTAGATGGAGGGTGGGGGCCATAGAATTTGCACACGTTACTTAATCCCATCTATATCCCTGTAATTTCCACTCCCTCTTCCCTGTAATTCCCAGAACGACCCAGCAAATCCAATTCCCTTCCTAGTGTGCAGAACTTCAAACACTTAAGCCTAGCTTCCCATTGCAATATAAGCAGCACCAGGGCAGGGATAAGGGTCAGTACTGGTTTCCTTGCCTTCTTTCCAGTGACTTAAATGGTGTTGACAATAGTGTGCACGTAATGAAAATCTGTTGAGTGACTGGAACAGAGTAACCGCTATATAATTGTTGCTTGTTATGATTACTTCTGAGGAATAGAAACCTCACAAGACAGATCTTCCTTCCAGAGGGTTCCAAGCTAAGCTGCAAATGCACTCTTACCCCATCTTCTACGTTTCTAAACCTCAATAGGGCTGAGAATCAGACAAGAGGGTACTTTTGCTTTGGGTAAGTGATTTCTAGGTTTTTCCATGCACAGACCTGATGGGGTTGATGTTACATTATATCTTTTTAGAGAATGGGCTTACAAAAAGAGTGACACGGTGGATATTTTCAGCACAGAATTCTCTTACTGAGTGGAAGGAAATAATAGAATAACAAAACTTGGCAATTGGATGGGAAATGGAAGAGTAAAACCAGTCTCCTGGAGTGGATGTGCTCCAGGCCTCCTGGTAGTAATTTACCCTCATATTAAAACCCCATAAATGGAAAAGAGCACAAAAGTGGGCATGCCACGGGCCTGGTGTGAGAGCGGTAGGTTCTTACTCCTGGATTTTCCAAGGGAATGGATGTTTCTCTGTTCTATTTCATTATTATTACCATTCCCGCCTTGGGTGTGGTGTCCCTCCAACGGCAATGAAGCTGTTTTGCACCTGTAACTGGCCTCCTTGCTTCCCCAAATGCCTGCAGGGCCAAATGGCTTCAGTTTAAGGGAGAAGAAATAGCCTTTGAAATGAATCATCCTAAAAGCAACTCATTTTTTGTTTTAGGGCATAAGTGGGGTATTTGAGAGCTGACTGGAAAACTTCCTTTTCAGAGACCTTCCCGATCTCAGGAACAAGTTTTTCCAAAGCCATCCCAAGCAATTATCTCAGCAAAAAGAAAAAACCAGAAGACACTGTTACTATAATTACAACTAATTACAATCTCATGATTCCATTTAATCTCCACATAAGAAGTTCACCAATTGAAGAACAGCATTGATCCTCTGTGCCTGAGCCAATTAGACATTTTGGTCCAATCCGAATGGTTACCCAGCCTTGGCCAGGATGAATTTGTGTTTAGAACTTTATTTTTATAGCCTCTGAGCCATCCCAGATTTTAAAGGGACACTGGAAATCATCCATTTGTGCATGTCTGCTCCAGCAAGATCTGTATACTTCAAAAATCATTAAGAAGTTAATACTGAAACCGATTTCATCTTTCTCCCCAATAACAAGATTTTTTTTTAAGATTGAAGTGTTTAGATTTCCCCGAGAAAAATTAAAATGATTCCTTAATACCTTGGAATTTTGATCCAGATAGTCTAGGAGAAGAGATTACAAGTGACATCTCAATTTCAGGCTCCTCATTAGTCAGGG